GCCACGCTGCTGTTTGAAATATGTTTTATTGCATAGTACTTATACAACATGATAAACTTCAAACAGCGATTTCTCATAAACGGCTGAATAGTGCATCGTCTCCGTATAGCATTACTTACTACTATACTAGTACTACGTACCTGTAAAATTTCAGCCAAATCGGTGACTCAGGTTATGCGGGTATCCCTTGTTAGATGGAAGGAAATTACTTCAGACCCGCTAATTTTGCAAACCATAGCGGGCTACAGGATCCCATTCTTACAGGATCCCATTCTTACAACAGCCACCACCACAAGAACAGGAACCTTCAGTCGCACTATCCGACTCACAAAGCCAAGTTTGTTCCCAAGAAATTAATAGACTTCTCGATAGAGGAGCTATTGAAGGGGTTACAAATTGTGCAGGCCAGTTCTTATCACCATTTTTTGTGATTAGAAAATCTTCAGAAGGATGGAGATTCATTCTTAATCTTAAGCGCCTCAATCAATTCATCTTTGCTCCTCACTTCAAATTAGAGGATTGGAAGACAGTTATTCGTCTCCTCTCTCCAGGGGATTTTCTAGCCTCGATTGATTTAGAGGACGCATATTTTCTGATTTCTATACATTAAAATGACAGAAAATTTTTACGATTCCGTTTCCAGGATTGTCTCTATCAATTCAAAGTTCTGCCGTTTGGTCTAGCTTCAGCCCCGTACATTTTCACAAGGATTCTGAAGCCAGTGGTACATTCTTTTAGAGAAAAGGGTCTTTTTCTGGTGATTTACCTGGATGACTTCCTTCTCATGGCAGACTCGTACGAGCAATGCATGAGAAATATCAAGATGACAACAAGCCTTCTTTCATCATTAGGTTTCATTATCAACAAACGCAAGAGCGTACTTGCACCAACAAATACGTGCAAATACCTGGGTTTTATCTTCGATTCACGGCTTTGCTCAATCATGATTCCGCCTGACAGGAGAGAAAACCTTCTAAGAATGACACTCGTTCTTCTAAAGAAGAAGCGTTGCAAAATTCGACTGCTGGCTATCTACATTGGATCTCTAATTTCGGTCTGCCCAGCTGTGCAATATGGCCTATTGCACACTAAGGTGCTGGAAAGAGAAAAATTTTTGGACTTAACAGCCTCGGAAGATAATTTCGAGGCTCAAATACCCCTGCCAGTTTCGATCAGAGAAGATCTGTTATGGTGGAAATCTATTTTTGCTGATTGCTCACAGCGTAATTTCGTTAGATCGGGGCGTTGGGACCTCGAGATTTTCTCCGATGCATCTCTCACCGGTTGGGGAGCAGTGTGTGGAGAAGAGAGAACTCATGGTTTCTGGTCATCGGAGGAAAAACAGCTACATATTAACTATTTAGAATTATTGGCTGTTTTTCATGCATTAAGATGCTTTGCATCTCATATCGAAGATGCTAACATCCTCCTTCGAGTAGACAACTCCACAGCTCTCTCTTATATTAACCGGATGGGCTCAATTAAATTCCCCAAACTTTCGGCTCTTACACGAGAAATCTGGTGTTGGTGCGCAGAAAGAAATAATTTTATCTATGCCTTTTATATTTTATCAGCTCAAAACATTGAGGCCGATGCAGAATCTCGAGTTATTTCAGAGGAAACAAAAGGGACTCTTCAGCAGTCATACTTTCATAACATAGAATCTCATTTCGGTAGTTTTGATATCGACTTATTTGCATTATCTATTAACCGCAAATGTCAACGTTTTGTATCCTGGTTCCCAGATCCACTAGCCTGGGCAGTGGATGCTTTTTCCCTCGATTGGAGCAAATTCTATTTTTATGCGTTTCCTCCTTTTATTCTTTTTTTAAGAGCTGTACGGAAAATCATTGATGATAGGGCGGTAGGCGTGGTGGTGGTTCCCTGGTGGCCGGCTCAGCCATGGTTTCCGTTACTCAATAAAATCATAATCGATCAACCGATTCGCTTTGATTCGAACATTGATATGTTATCATCTCCTTTCAGAGACGTTCACCCAGACTGAAAGAAGATTACCCTGGTAGCCGTGAAATTATCCGGCGAGCTTTTATATTCAAGGGAACACCACCAGCAGCGCTAACAGCAACATTGGCATCAATCTCAGAGGCCACTCTATCACAATATTCTAAGCCCTTGAAATTGTGGTGGTTTTTCTGTAAACAGAATCAAATTAACTGCTTTACACCACCAGTTTCTGCATTCTTAGATTTTCTGTCTTCCTTACTTTCAAACGTAGGCTCCTACGCTACGTTGAATTCATACAGATCGGCGGTATCTCTCATTTCATCGAATGAAGTGGGTTCTCACCCCTTAGTGAGCAGATTTTTCAAGGGGGTATCTGTTTTGAAGCCACAACGTCACCGTTATGACGTCATGTGGGACCCCAGACCGGTGATTGAAAGACTGTCATCACTATTCCCACATGATAAACTCTCATTGGAGTTATTATCGAGGAAACTAGTGACACTCCTTGCCTTAACAACAGCTCAGAGAATGCAGACTCTGGCATCTATACAGCTGTCGAATATCATTCTATCGGACTCTTTAGTTATTAAGATCTCTGCTAGGCTTAAGACATCACGGGTTGGTAAACCACAACCATTACTTTCCTTCAAACCCTTTCCTGAGAGACCAGAACTTTGTATCGTCTCTCTGGTAAAATCTTATCTTCATGTTACCTGCGATCTCCGTCAAGAAGGTTGTGATTCCCTTTTTATTTCTCTCCGTTCTCCGCACAGTGCCGTGTCCCCCCAAACGCTAGCACGTTGGGTTAAAACAGAGTTAGGCGCGGCTGGAATCGACATTAATATTTTCTTGGCCCACTCGACTCGGCACGCATCGACGTCATTCGCAGCAAACAGAGGCATAAGCGTGGATGAAATCAGACGTACTGCGGGCTGGAGCAAATCGTCGGAGGTTTTTGCTCGTTTTTACAACCGCCCGATTGTCGAAGACCCTGCTTTTCTTTCTACAATATTAAACTGCCAATAGCTATCTACTACTATCAGTTACTTTGGTTTCATATGTATAATATTATACATACTTTATATATATTGACTTTATATGCGTATATATGGATGTATATATATGTATATATTTATGGATATGTGTGGGTATATATATATATAGATAACTTAATAATAAGCCTTATTACGTTTATTTTATGTTATTATCGCTCAAAAAAAAGCTGTTTATGTTTATTGGCTCCTATAGGGAGATACGTTTGAAATTTTTGTTTTTTCTTTTTTTCTCCTCCATACAATCGTTATGTATGTAAGGAACTACAGTTCTGAAATAAAATAACTTATGTTCTTTTCTTTTCAGTCTTTGACAAATCTGCGTGTTAAAGATCTACAAGTATCCATCCGGACGAGACTAAGCATAATTGAATAATCAAACGAACTTACCGTGAAGTTCGATTATAATTT